TTAAAAAATATGAGTGTAATATCATTAGCAGGAGATGACACATTGGAAGTGCCGTAAGTAAAAAAAAAAAAAACTTTTTCCCATTTGTCTTGTTTTTTCTTCCCTCTCTGCCTTTTTTTTTCCCCCCTTCGTTTTTGCTTTCCTGTCTTTCTTTCAGGTTTAGTGGTTATAGGCTTTTCCACCAGATCTGGGTGTTCATGCCAGCTGTTACTTCTTATCTTTCTGACCTTGGAAACTGAAACCTTGTTTTTCTCATCCTTAAGAGACTTGAGGCTTATCACATACAGGTGCTCAATAAAGATCACTGTTGTTTTTTTGTGATACATGTAATTGTTGGCTAACCTCAGTTGCTCTTAACCTATTTAAAGTATTGTTCCTTAAGTTAGGTAAGTAGTACCTGATTGAGGGTACCATCAATTTATACTACTTATTTTTTCTCAAAATGCTGAACACATACTTTTCTTTGTTATTTGCTGAGGGATGTTGTATATAAGAAAACGAACTACAGTTTGATTAGTCTGTTTCAGCACCCAATTCCCCCCAGTGAATTCTGGTAAACATTAGATGGTAGAATGTGGTTTAGAACAGAATGCCTCTGTATATACTTTTGTTCTTTTTTCCCTTAATTTCTGCCTATTTCACTTTCAGATTTAAGAGTGGGCGTAACCACTTCAATCCAGTAGTTAAAAAGAAGGGAGGAGGAGAGATTGGCAGTATGATATATACATAGTAATACCAAGGGCAAGGGAAGTCATGGGCAATAATAAAGAACAACTTTTCCTTAAATGTGTTGCTGTTAACTGGCATAGTTTGTTCTCTGGCTGGTGCAGTATCTTAGGTCAGGGGGCTGTGTGTGTGTGTGTGTGTGTGTGTGTGTGTGTGTGAAAAGAGGACAGGAGAGATGGCTAATTTGGGGGAAATGGCTCTGGTCCTGTTACTGAGTAGCATGGTCTCAGAGATCAGAGAGGGGCTCCATCACACAGGTGTTTATACTTAGTACAGTGATCTCTTCCACTATTAAAATGTGGCCTAATGAATGTTCAACTTTGGCCTACCAGGTCAGCCGTTCCTCCTTTTGGGCGGATCAAGTCAAAGACTGCAAGGGAGCATCAGCTCTCTTCTCCAGCCTGTGCTAATCCCTTATCCTCACCCTTGATGGGAGAGAAGTTGGAAGCAACAGCCTTGTGGGCTGAAGTTGATCTGTGAAGAGATTGGGAGCATATACATTCCTCCTTTACTAAAGCTTGCTTGGTATTTTTTTTTAATGACTTAAATTAAGCTTATTAACATTACTGTCAGGGTAGAGATGAACCAGAGTTTCCCATTTTGACCACAAAAGCTAGTGAATGTATTTTCCCTGATTTACTTTTGTGTTCTGCTGCAGTACTTCTGTATTGGTGACTAGACTATATGGCTCTCCATTCTCCAAAGGATAGTGTTACTCTTAGAGATTTGTTGCATCTGACAATTGCCTTTGTACCTGCTACTGGAGACGACAGAGGGGTCAGTCCTTTAGAACTTTGTACCAGTCCATTTTCAAAAGCCTCACACTCTGTTTCAGGAGCTTTTGGTGACCAGGGCTGCCAGATGAACTTTATTTCTTTTTTACTTGCCACATTTGGTGCCACACGCTGAAGAACATAAAAAGCGCATCACTTCTTAGTACTACCTTCCAAGTTTTACTTCAACTCTTTCTTTCATTTTAACCTCTTTGTTTTCAAACAAGGACTTGGAATGATTCAGTCACCTGTTTTAAAGTTTTGTCCTTAATCTTATTCATATCTTTGTGAATCTGGGAGTTGATGGTTTTCAGATTTTAATTGAGCAGCCCTGTGAAGGCTAAGGTGAAAAGTATGCAACATGATCTGTCAGTATGAAAGTCATGGATTTACTTACATGCAGTGTGTGCCACATTTTCCCTCTGTTAGGAACTTTTGTAAGGAAATGACATTCTTGCTTGTTTCATGAGGAGCAAAGGGCAGTATTTTCAGAAATAGCTATGTGGTCCCCAAGAGAAAACATTCTTTTGCCATGAAACATACTTACCAGACATTTTGGAAAAATTGCAACCTAAATAAGAAAGATATAATTGTAATGTGTTTGGGGTTGAAAATTATCTCAAAACATTTTAGTTAGCATTTTTGAGAACAGTGTTTCTTTTATTAGAAATCCATTTTCAATGAAGTAAAACATGTAATAGTTCTAAGTGATACTTACTGGTTAAAAGCAGATGAACTCAAATGACAGAAGTAATTCCAGTTTTGATAGTCAATATTATAATTTTTTTGCTTCATTTTTATTTAGTTGCTGCAGGATTTGGATGGAAACTGATTTTTAATTGATACAATTAAAATGTAATTGAAATGAAAAGAAGTTCAAATTATCAAAAGGATTATTTTCTAATTATATATATGCAACCTTAATTCCTAACCATAATTAAGAAAGAAGTATTTACACAGTTGTTAATGTTTGTTTCATAGTATATATTCCTATGGGTACCATAATTAGTGCTCATTTTAAAAGCACACTAAAATTTTAGATTTATTATAAATTTTTTAAAGCAAATAATTTAGTTTGTTCTTCTTTTGAATAATAAAAATGTGTAGTTCATAGGGAAGCTTTATTCACTGTTTTTTTTTCTGAACTATTTGAAAACTATTCTGCACTTTACACTTTTTTGCTGGTAGTAACTTTTTGAAAATAAGATAAAAATAATTTGTTTTTTCTTTTGGTTTAAAATGTTTGTCATCTCATGTATGCCAAATTTATTGGACTGCAATAGTTTTAGTGCATTTTGGCTGCAATGTTTATTATGACATCACTGTAATCTATATACAGTATGTGATTTCAGATGGTTTCAGTGTTAAATATTTTCATAATTATGCTAGTTTTGGCAATTCACTTGGAACTTTTTCACATCTCTTTAATGAACATGTTTTACTTCTGGGCTTTTGAAACAACCATATGTTTCAAAAGTTAATAGTGTACTTTTAATGTTAATGTTGTACAGAAGTGTATGACTACAGACAATTTTAAGGATGTAAGTTGAAGTAAAAGTAATTACAGTAAGGTTTTCACAGTAGTAGTCTTGTAGTATTTAGAGACTATAACATCTCCTCCAAATAACAGAGGGTGTCATTATAAAGATTGAATAGTGGAGTTTTTTTGTGGAATGAAACACTGTGAAGTTTGTTTTTCATTAACTTATAATGAATATAAGTTCATGTGAAATTCTTTTTATTGTTCATGGCGAATCTCTTTTTACTTCTATTGAAGTTTCAAATAGATTGTTTTTCTTTGCTAATAATATGTCTCTAATATCTGAAACCATCTTGTAAACGATTGCTATCTTGTAAATGATTTGTCTTTTATTATGTATAATTTTCTTAATATGCTATTTAATGAGAATTTTTTTCTAAAGTTGTCTAAATTTTTGTTTTAATTTCCTTTAGAACCCTATTAGACTGGTAAATTTAGTGGTTATCCTTTTTATTCTTGAAATTTCTCTACAAATACTTAAAATAGAAAAACTAAATTTATTACCATTCTTATATTATAAAATAGTTTTATTATTGATTAATGAGTTGGTGATGCACACAGTATACCATCAGTTACTCTTTGTGTTGGTATCTTTGATCTCTCACTTACCATATGCTTCTATCCTTCAAGCAAAATATGCTTTTTTATCCCCAAAAAGGACTAAGAAGATGTCAGATGCCTTTTACTTCTTTGCTACTCCATCTGTTTCTGCCTTGTAATGCCTGTCTTCTTGAAATAGCAGTCTTTGTCTATTGTTTCTACTTTAATGTCTCATTCATTCTTTGTACTATTTACTATTCTACTCCTGTCCCTCTACTGTAACCTGTTAAATCTCCTTTCTTGTAGGTTATTCACATCTTCCTCCTATTTACCAAATCTTGAAACATGTCAACTAGAACGAAGACTGAGGACATTTCTATAGTTCTTAACATTACCCCATTTTTATTGAACTGGTCCATGCCTTTAGCTTTTGGTATTATTCTGACATCTTAAAAATTATGTTCTTTAGCTTTATTTGAATAATCATTATTCCTTGTACATGCTATACATATTTATATTGTTTTGCTTTTGCGTATAGTTTCCTCCCTACTTAGCCTCCATTCTTAACCTAAAACATTCCTATACTCATTAAGGGTGTGACTAACTTCTCTAGTTCTTGCAAATAGAATGACTCTGTTTGTGTCTCTAACTTAAAAATGAACAAAAAGGTCCTCTGTAGAATAAGTTGTATGTGTTTTCAATAGATTCTAAACTCCTTGAGGAAAGGTATATATATAATTTATTTCTGTAAGTCTAGCAGTTTAGCACATAAGAGCATATATAAACTTTTGAATCAAGGCAGGAAACAAGTATTGACTTGCACTATGTAATTAAGGGGATAAATTTCAAAGGTATGTATGATTTATTGAAGTTTCTTTGTTGCACATATCAAAACCCAATTAAACTGTATGTCTAATTTGAATAATTCAGTAAACATTACTAAGGATACAAAGATTTTAAGGATGATTAAGATTAATCATTAAAAATTATTAACAGCTTACTTGGATTCTTAGTTTAAATTGTAAAATAATGAGGGCCGTAACATGTAAATAACAAATAGGGGAAAATTAAGACCATTTCCACTTAGTTTGTGCTCAGAGATGGAAAGTGTTTAAAATGTCCATTGAATAGTCTTTTGCTAAAGCCATATATGAATTCTTTTGACATTATAAAGTGGTTTGTTTAGATATCAACTAGAGAAATGAAGAATTTGTGATTTTAAACTACTAGTTATTTTAAAATGCTGTTTGAGAATGCAAATTAGGAAAATTGGCTACATAGTTTTTTAGAGCTAAAAAATAAAATTAGAGTAGTCTAGTTAATCACATTTAGTAACCATAAACTGCATATTTCCAACAAACTTTTCCTAATTCTTAAATGGTGATTGATGCTTTTCTTATTTTTCTTTAAAATAAAAATAGGATGACCATGAAAGCTGTGGTTCTAATTCTACCAACCGTAGTACTACTGACAACACAAAATCATCAGTAAAACCCCGAAGAATTCAGCAGGTTGCTCCCACAGATCCTGACTTACCACCAGGTAACTTTTAATGGGATTGATGAAGCCAAAACTTCAGTTGTTATTAATCACTGTTGTAGCCCTTTATAAAAATACACGTTCAGTATTCTTTAATGTCATAAAATATTTAGACTGTATGTGCATGATGTGAGAACAAATTGAGTTCAGAGTCCTCACTAACATCTTCCATTCAAATTTCAGTGCTCTTTTGCAGTAGGTTGTTCCTTAAGTTTCTTTCTTAACATTTTCTCCAAGCAAAGACTTCCATCTGGTTTTCTCACTCATAGTATCTCTGTTCCCCTTGCTTCTTGATAAACAGAGGAAGACACTAGATTGTTCTGAGTTTCTGGAAGCTATAAAACTCACTACCAGAATCACAGAATTTTTTAACTGGAGGAGACTATCTTCATTTTCTGAAATTTTTATTTATTTGAAACAGCAGTGGCTTACAAATAACAAACTCTTTGTAAATATTTAATGAAGGAAAAAAAATGATCCTTAATCTTTACGTGTCACCTTTTGGCCAAAGTACATGCTGCCTTTTTAGTTAGGAATTGGTTATCAGTCTCTTCTCTTTTGATTTTATCACTTTTTTTCTCTGAATTTAGTTGACCTTGGTATAGGCTTGTTTTGTGTGCCAAAGGTTTGTAGACTTTCTGCTGGTTTTAATCCAGTTTATTTTTGCTAGTCTTCTGGCACCATCTGCTTTACTTGTAAGAGCCAGGAGTTAGGTACACCATTTAATAGCAATTCTTTCAGATAGGTGTTCTAAGTTATATTTGAATTGAATGTTTCTTTTTATTTTCTTCTTTTTTTAATTGAGTTGTTTTATTAAAAAATTCTGGCTTCTCTTTATTTTTTGAAATTGGGCATTATTCTTTTTGTGTGTATGTGGGGATGTCGTGTAGCAGATATCATGGATCACCTCTTATAGCAATGATTTTTTTTATGTTGAGGTACATACAATACAATGCACAAATTTTAATGTAGAGCTTAATGAATTTTAACATGTGTATACGCTCATGTAACCATTGTCCAGACCAACATATCAAGTATTCTTGTTAATTTTTTTTTCCCTTCACCTATTTCACCCATCCCTCTGCACTCTTCCCCTATGGTAACCACTAGTCTGTACTGTATTTATGAGTCTATTTCAGTTTTGTTTGTTCATTTGTTGAACTGTTCATTGTTGAAATGTTCAATTGAACATTTCAAACTAATGTTATAATTATGTTAATGCTGATGCTTGTATTCTTTAGAACTGTACTAAACAGGTCTCTGTAATCCCTCTGGCTTTAAAATGGATTAATTGCTATAGCGGGAGAAGGTGCCAGAAAGAAGAAACTTTACTTCTGAATGCTTCTAATGTTAGAGTACTGTGATGGTTCCAGAACTTTCTAAATTTTTTCTTACTGAGGAATTGGGAAAAACCCCTGCTGAATTAAATTTAATTGTAAATTAAATTTAAACTGTAGCTTATTCTTATTTTTGAAATGGGTAACCCTATACCCCTGCAAATTTAAGACTACATGTCCCCTCAAAATTTCTTATACCAGCTCATTGTATAGAATACTCTCCATCAAAATTCTGGCAAAGAATAATCAGGTTTAGGTGCAACTGTGACATCTTGTTACAGTTTTTTTTCTTTAAAGAAAGACTTGTTTAAGAAAAATTTAAAGCTTTGGTCAGTTGTTTCTTTCACTGATAAAAATTTTCTATGGGCTAACCTGCATATACTCAAAACAGGTCCCAGACTTTTAATGATCATTTAGAGGCTGTATTAGAATTTATACTGATACTCAGAATTGGGAGAACTGGCCTATTTTTTAGGATCATAGAACATAAGAACATAAATATAACATAAGACATCGTATTTTTAGTGGCAAAAAACAGAGTTGTCTTCTACCTGAACTACTTGAGGTTGCTTTTGGATTAGCACGTGCTTTTCTGCTTTACCTAATAGGAGGACTCATGTCCTCTTTATAGTGACATAAGTCACACTTAGTTTAGGAAGTAAATGAACTTGTTGGGTGATTACTAGGAGGTAGAGCAGCTACATTTAATTGTGATATCAGTAAAAAGAAAAAAAAGGATAATTTGAGAATCCAGTTGGATAATGGTAAATCATTTTATTTAAAGGTTAACTTATATGATTATTTGAGGACTCATTTATGGCAACTTTATGCTGCCTGGGAACCACATTAAGGTTCTTTTATGGTAGAGATGAATTCCTGTTTACAATTTTCTAGGGCAAAGTTACTTATCTCTGGTTATAATTTTGGAATTTGAACATTTACATAGATCCAGAGATGCTGTTGGAGAAAAGTTTTAGTGTTAGCAGTAGTTATTTGTTGGATATCTTTGAAGGATGGGTGGCTCTATAATAGGGAAAGGATCTAAGTCAATATCTTTATCTTCTTTGCAATCTCTGTTTTTGGTATCTAGAACAGTCTTTTTCATCTTATGGATCCTGACCAATAAACGCATTGTGAAAACAATTTTGTGGTTCATGGCAAGCATTTAGAAAATATATGGCATAGAACAGAAAACTTCATAGCATGTAGTAAAGATTAATAGTAGTTCAAGAAAATTGGGTTTATGTGTACACTTGTGCTGGATTATGATACGATATTTCTCACTGGGAGAGAAGTCAGAAGAGTAAATCTGACTGATTCAAAGTATACACATTTTCTTTCAGTTTATGATATAAAGTCTGGGATCTTCAGTTACTGCTAATAACAGTTCTGAATTGTGAGTTTAGCATGTCCTGTAAAATACGCTGACAATTCCTATTTAGAGAGAAAGTTTAAGGATGTTTACTTCTTTGTTCATCATTCTTTCCTTGGTATTCTTATTTCTATGAAGTGAGACTACTTCTAAACTAGATATGTAGATTATTCAGTTCTGTGTTCTCTGAAGTGTATATAGCCTTTGGCTTTTATTGAAGATCATTTAAAAACGTCCTTTATGGCTGTTTCTGCATTTGCTTTAAAATGGCTTTCAAGAGTATTGTCCTTTAATTTATTCATGGTCTTTGAATTAACTGGTATGTTTTTCCTTATTAAATAGTCATTCATCAAAAAGAATTCCTACTTGTTTACTAGGAATCTCAGAGATAAATTTTGTGTTCCATTTGCATAGCTTCCTTTTTCTTGTTTTTGTCATATAATTATCTTTTCCATACTCTCACTCAGAATATATACATATATATATGTATGCATGCATATGGTTTAATAGAAATATTCAGAGTACAGATAAACTAAAAACTATGTTGTCCACTGGATCTGAAGTTATGACTTAGTCATCTTTGATCTTCATCATCTAACATAGAGGTTGGCAAATATTTTCTGTAAACGGCCAGTTATTAAGTATTTTAGGCTTTGCAAGCCATGTATTTTCTGTTGCAGCTGTTCCACTCTTTTGATGTAGCATGAAATCAGCAATAAATGATAAGTAAACATGTACATGGCTGTGTTCCAGTAAAACTTTATTTACAAAAACATGATATAGACCTCATCTTGCCAGCCCCAATCTAATACAATGTCTGGTTCGTAATAGGCATTTATGTATTTATTGCACTGCACAAAAATTGAACTGTACAAAGATCACTGTTTTCAGACTTTAATAATCAGAGTTATAGAGTCATTGAAATATGGAATAAGAAGCTACTTTAGATTTTCTGTTCTAGCAGTCTAGCTTTTTTTGGGACATAGACCCTTGAAAATCAGTTGTAAAGGTTATAGACTCACAATGCACATTCAAAATTTGCATGTAACTTCAGGGTGTTCACATACCCTCTGAAGTCCATCTGTAGACTCCAACTAAGCCTCTGTTCTAGCCCACATTTTGTGGATAGAAAATGGAAACTCAGATATTTAGATGTACATGAGAGCTATTATTAAATTAGTAGGCATTTACTAAAAATTTTGTTTTCTGCAGAAAATAATATGAGATGGAAGAATAATTGTGCATGTTTAAATGCTTGCTATTTGGGCTGCTAAGGCTTGATTTTCTGAAAATTCTCTTGAAGGGATTTTAATAGTAGTTGTAGAATATATCAGATAATTTAAGAATATTTGTGTATATCAACTGTTCAAAGACCCTGAGCCCAAAATGGCAGTGCATTATAGAAGATAGCATTATCATTTCCTATTTACCTGTGGGAAGTGCACATGAATTTAAATCTTATCTAATCACTGTCTCTTTCTAGAACTGTTGAGAGTAGAGAAGACCTCATTGCAAATGAAAAAGAATTGTATAGCTTATTTCATATCTATTTTTGTGCTTTTATTATTTTAATATCTTCCATTAACATTTTCTGGAAAAGCCATTTTTTAAATAACTGGCAAATTGTATTAGTTAGGTGCACATGTTAACCTCTACTTTCAGTGAGTTGACACAGCAAAGTGTTACGTTTTCTTTATGTACCAGTCCAAAGACTAGGTTCTAGCTGAAGCTCAGGCTCCTTTTTCCTTGAGGCTCTGCTCTGAATCTGTTGCTTTTAACCTTTGCAAGAGGAGAGCCTGGAGAAGACCTGTCTACTTCTTAATACCTCCAGGCTGGACACGATACATTTCTTCTGCCCAAATTTCATTGTGAAATACTATTTGCATGGACATTATGTATGTCTTAAAAGTCATGTATCAGTAACAATTCTACATTTTCAAGGGAAAACACAAAATATTGATGATAGCTAGCTATTTCTGCCACGCAGATGTTCTTTCTCATTTATATATTGAACCTTTAAAAGTTGGATATGCCTCAAACTGATTTTGTCAATAGTTTTAAAGATATCTAATGTTTATACTTTATTACAGAGAAGGTTAAAATTGGAAAGCTTTTATTTTATTCTAATTAGATTAAATTTTAAAGCATTGCTTAGTGAAGGCAGACTGTTCAATTCCCTAAATCTTTTTTGCTGTATAAATGAGAATATGCTAGAGCAGCTCATTGTACGCTACCCTTCCTCTCAAAGAATTAATTGCTTAGTATAGGAGACTTTGTGAACCACTAACTGCAGT